TGGAGGAGGATTAATTGTTATCTTTTATGTCGAGTTTCTGTCAACATTCAAATCCATAGCGCTTTAGTGCGTTTTTATATTATATATCCCACATTTCAAGACAGAGGATCCCATTTTCTAAGTAACTTTACTCGCCTTGAGAAACTTTATTTATGGTTGCGTCTGGGATAAAATGTAGAAGAGGGAACCAAAGGTGTGTGTGGCGAGGGTGGGGGGTGGATACCATTAAATTACGTCTGTAGGAAAAGAAAATATAGACTAGATGGAGACATTGGCAAATTTCCTCCACACCCCTGCCCCCAACAATACCACCCTCACATCCACACGTCCATCCATCCCATTGGTTCTAAATCAACCTCCTTCCCCCCCCCCCATCCGGGCGCCCAACAAATGTACCTTCCAGCTCCCTCAAGGCCCCTCCCCCCTTCCCCGTGTCGAAATATCCAACAGTATGTAGGCAATTGCGTGATTAGTCTTCAAGACTCCAAGAATTCTCTTTAAAATTCAGTCTTACAGTGCACAAAAGATCAGGCAAAGTTTTGTTCTTTTATTTTCGAGCTTCTGACAAAGCGGTAGAAAGCCCTGTACTTACCAAAGTCACACCTTCTTTCTGCATACATGTTTTACGACTCCACCGTTGAATGTTTGCTTTATGAGAAGCTTCTATTTATAAACTGTCTCCATACTGCCACTCCAAGTTCCTGCTTTGATGATCTCGATTATCGATTTTGGGGATATCAAGGGACAATTTCTTTTGAGCTTTTTTCTTGACACAGCTGCGTATTAAAAGAAGTGTGTCGTTGCTTTCTGAGCTATTAACACTTTCTTACCCTTCTCACTCTGTCCTTAAGTTCGAATATTCTTTTTTTGAACGAAGATACGTAGACAGCTAGAAATCCTTTCTTTCTTTTTTCTTCTATACTTGGACATTCTGTTTCCAATCGTTTTTTTTCTGTATTAAAATAATATAGTTGTATCTGGCAAATATTACCACTAAATACTCATGTCATGCTTGTGTCTTCACTGTTATTACGCCTGGCATGTGAAATAATTTGTTTGTGTCGGAACAGTTTGGAAAGTGTAGGCGTACACTTTTGTAGCGGATTACGGCACAGTGCTGAGAGTTTGTGACCGTGACTTATATTTCTTCATCTCTCTCTCTCTCTCTCTCTCTCTCTCTCTCTCTCTCTCTCTCTCTCTCTCTCTCTCTCTCTCTCTCCCTATCTCTGTGTATACGAACATGGCGAACTGTTCAGATACTAAGCCCGATTTTTCGGAGTTTTGTTTTTGTTACAATTTCTTGATCCGTGTGTCAGGTTGCATGAGCTCGATTTGGTTGATATTCAGATTGAAGATGTTGAAAAAAATCTAGAAAAGATACATATTGTCTGTATGCCAATTTAATTGTTAAAAAAGTAACAATTACCCCTCCTCTTTCATCTCCTTCCACCTCCCTCTCTGAGTGGTGGGTTCCACTTATTATTATTTTTTTTTACAGTTTGCATGTTGCTTCTGTCTGTCCGTCTGGTCTTATCCCAGCACTAAGCAACAGGTTATTTACTTCTCTTTAACTAGAACTGACTCTCAATGTTTTTTCCCTCCCCCCCTCTCTCTCCCTTTCTTTCCTTCCTCTACTATCTCTTTTCTCTTTCGTTACTCTCTCTTTTATCTCGGTCCGCCCCACCCCCCCCTCTCTTTTCTCTCGAGATCTTCTCTGTAGCTTCTTGTGTCTGAGCCTTCTCTCTATTAGGGAGAAAGAAAGAGAGAAATAAAAAAAGTTATTTGTATGAGTATACGTGTATATATATTATATATATGTGCGTGTATGTTTCTGTGTGTGTTTGTGTGTGTGAGTATGCGTGTGTGCGTGTATGTGTGAGCGATTATGTGTACAGTATGTGTGTGTGTGTGTGTGTGTGTGTGTGTGTGTGTGTGTGTGTGTGTGTGTGTGTGTGTGTGTGAGTGTGTGTGTGTGAGTGTGTGTGTGTACGTCTTGTGTTCATGTAATAAAAGAAATGTGGAGGGGGGGGGGTTGTCTGTTTGTCTCGCTTTTAGTATTTGTGTATAGATACTATCAAAGGGATTGTCAATGACATCTCCGTTTTGTTTACTTACTTTGCTTACTTCCATGGTACAGCCTATGTTCATGTGACCAGATCAGTGCCTCATTTGGCCATGTCTTCAATTGTTTAATTTTTTCCTCTTCTTATCTAGACTTACGTGTATCTATAGACTGAGTTCGATGACGGTACTACATTTACTCGTATTTTTATTAATAGGAATACCGATTATACGAGTAAATATTCCCCACAAAGAAAAAATAAACAAATACAAAAACAAAACACTAACATCGCTTAACCGGCAAAGTTAGGTCTTTTTTTCTTTTGATTGTACATTTGTACTAAGGCAATTTTAGTTTTTGCTTTTTCCTTTCTTTTCTGTCCTTTTCTGTTTTGTTCTGTTCTTTTCCTTTCCTTATTTTTCTGTTCTATCCTTTTCTTTTCTTTTCTCTTTTTTTCCTTTCCTTTTTCTTTCCGGTTCACTCCCTCATTTCAGCGTTCAACTGATACCTACAGTCGCTGTTAAGTCGACAGGGCAATAATCGTATGCATGTTTAGCAACAATGAGAGAGAAGGGGGGTAACTAAACTCTTTTCCGAAGTCCTAGGGCAATTTTGTCGTCTCCCCTGTTCTGACCCAGATCTGGAACTGAGAGACGGACTTTTACCAAGTGTCTATTAAAATTAATATGATGAGTGTAAAATATGTCCCATCTTTCCCAGGGGGTGTAATTTTGAAGGCGTTTATTCGACTTCTTTCGATCTAACTTCCCAGAAGTGAGCAAGTTTATCTTTGTGGTCCATGTCGAGTACTATGTTTTCCTTCCTATGTGGCTAGACAGACGTGTATCGAGACAAAACGTTAATTCAGGAGAACACACGCAGCAGTGCAAGCGTTTTCTTTGAAGTCGATAAAACGATATACATAAACATAACCGTTAACTTTGCACTGTAACAGGAAAAATATAGAACAGAAACAAACAGGGGACAAAAATAGTAGGCCTAATAGTGTTCTACTACTACTACTACTACTACTACTACTACTACTACTACTACTACTACTACTACTACTACTACTACTACTACTACTACTACTACTACTACTACTACTACTACTACTACTACTACTACTACTACTACTACTACTACTACTACTACTACTACTACTACTACTACTACTACTACTACTACTACTACTACTACTACTACCACCACCAACTACTACTACTATTACTACTGGTGGTGGTGATGGCGGTGGGTGTGGTGGTGGTGGTGCTACTGCTGCTGCTGCTGCTGCTGCTGCTGCTGCTGCTACTACTGCTACTACTGATAATAACAATTTAAAAAATAATAAACAATAATACTAGTTTTAATAATATCAGTAATAACAAAAGTAGCAACAAAAACAACGGTAACAAAGATGATGATGATCTTTTTTTTGGTTTCCTTCATGGGCCTGGCAGACTCCACGAAGAAATCTTCGAGCGAGAGCGAGGCTCTTTTTCGGCTCCATTGTCAATATGCTTAGCGGCACCTCCACTCGTCCAAATAACTCCATTCGAATTGATGAAGACGATGATAATAATAATAATAATGACTATAATAATAAGAGTAATAATAATAATGATAATAATA